GAGGGCATACTTTGGGCCCCTATCGTTGCTAATCTTGGGGGATATATAGGTGTGTTTGTAGCTTGCCATTGTGCATGCAATAAGAAAACGTGCTATAAATTTCATTGTTGTTCTCAGCTATGAAGCTTCAGATTCAATGCAATGAATAGGCGCCCACAATTTTGGGACACCCTGTAAATACGTGAAGGTGGTCCCAACAACATACCGTGCACAGCTCTCCCACAAACAACTCGTCCCAAACCGTTTATTCTGGTGAACCCAGCTCTAAAAATTAACTTCCCTTCTACTCCCTGCTCCCTCATTGAAGTCCAGCCAAAAATGAACGGTATCCCGCCCCACATGGCGCACATATATGTAGCAGGTACTCGTGTTGGTTCGATTTGACGATCTCTATCTGCAGCACAACACATGAAACATGGAACACGATCTTGATTCTTTATTAATCTTGTCGGTGACTGTTGTACTAATTTTTTAAACAATTACAATAAACCATTATTAACCTGATATAATACTAAGTGAATCCATTGCATCTAGTATTGGAAGAATCATGATCGATGGTGAAATTCGATTGTAGGAAAAAAAGACCTTCGTTATCTCACAGATGTTCAATTGGAGATGGGCCAAAAAAGCTACAATCTCAGTGGATTTTGATGTTAAACTCAATAACGTCCGAACAGCACGACATCTTGCATGGTGACATGAAGGATGACGTCGGACGTGGAAATACAGTACATGACTAGCATATACTATAAGACTCGATTGCAAACAAACACATAATATGGTCATGACTATAAGGCTAAACAACGTACTCAGTTGCTCGTTATCGGCAACAATCACAGTATACCCAAAATCGCTACGGGTAAGGTATCGTGAGTTACTGGGTATGGGTCAGGAGGCGCCACGGGGTCTTCTTGCTGAAACCAAGTCGCGGTGCCGGGGTAGTGAATTTCGTTCTACCTTTCCCTTTTTGTGAGCACATATACAAAAGTTTATGTGCAAGGCAAGAAGGGAACGGCATCCGTTCAAAGACCCTTGCACGACCTGACCTCAACACGACGACCACGATGGCGCGTGCTGACTCATACCTCTCGAGTACTCTAAAAAGCATGACCTAGTTCAAAACGAGGATTGAGAGAATGGGACCATCGTTTCAGGTAAGGGGCACGAGAACACTGTATTATAAAGAGACCCGTGGTACTGGCGCGTCTCCGAGATCGTGGAGACGACACCGAACCGTGCGCGAGCCAACAACAGTTAAAAGAAATAAATCAGAAAAACACACTAGCGGAGATGTGTACCACATATCACTATGTACAAGACGATTTGAGGAAATTACAAAAAGAAAACCAAAAATGTGGATTGGATAGAAATTGAGAGTCGTCAAGAATTCTTCTCCCTTTGGTCATCATAAGGACCACTATTTGAGAGGATTGAATCTTATGCGACCCCGATTTTCGCTCCAATGGAACATAATTTTACGATGAGATAGAAGTCTATCAGACCAATATGGGGCACACAACAACACACGCAGTATCAAAATTCTCGAGCGTGCTTCTTGACATCGCAACGACCACCACAATAGCGGTCGATGGCGAATTCGCGCGTGCGTACACGTCACTCGGACTCGGTTCGCCGGCGGCACTGCGACGTCGAGATGAAGTTTGGTCAAAACTGATTCGCAGCAAAACAAACCTCAACAACATCTCCACGACGCTTACATAGTAGCTAGAGCATAAGTGCCTATTAAACCGACTAATTGGATGAGTCCCGAAAGATATATACAACTGCACTAGAGCAACACCTGAATTGAACACAAAAACGTGTGTGTACACAGAGAAGAAAATCATCAGAGAGACCCGACTGCTTCACAGGAGTCGTACAATGCATGAATAAGAGAAAGCAAAAGGGAGGTGTGTAATTAATGACAAGCACCACTCACCAAAGTGAGTGTCACTCATCCTAGAGAGCATCATGCCGAATGGTTCAAAAATGAGAAAAACTTAAATGAAATCGACGCCAGGACACTCGCTATTTATACCCGAAGTATGAGAGAACCCACCTGATCTGAGAAGAGGTCCGGGACCTATAATAGATCACCGACAATCTACCCAAGTCAGGAGGGCTTGGCAATTTGAAGGTGGGCAGGCGAAAAAATTTGCCATGCACAAACACCTTCGTTATGCACAGAATCACATACAACGTTACAAGAACAACGTCAAAAAATGGAAGGAAAACAAAACAGTTACAAAACAATTATACAAAAATAAACTGCTCTAATGGGTTTGCTGCCGTGCATTAAGTGCAACGGGGCATGCCATATAGATTCGATAAATGAATAGGGAGAGGAGAAAAATACACTACGATTAAATGTTATACAGAATACTGTGGTGTGATAATATGGAAAATTACGTAATAGCGGCCGCTAAGCGGCATGAAGATATATGAGCGGAAATTACTGATATTGAACGTCGAACAGGTAGCGCAAGAGGAGGTGGCCATGCCACACAATCCTCTGGAATGCCTAAAAACATATTATTAACTCAAAAAAGCCGACATTAGTTGATCAACTATATATTCAGCACCAAAACCAATACGGCAAGGAACTCCTACATCTAAGAGAAAGCTTATGTACAAAATGTACAACTACGTAATTATGCCTATCCCAAAACTTAGGCACCTTCGCATTCATAGTGCGATTGAATGTGATTAAAATCAACCACCCTCTAGAGCTTTTTCAATCCAAAATGTTTCACAGCCGAGCTTCTAAATCCGTCTCCTTCTTAAACCCTCAACTCAACGAAGACAAGATGTCAGTGATAGTAGCAACCTAGTTTTCTCAAAATTGCCACTATTCATAAAAAGTCATTCTACAACTGTTTAGCTGATCAAGTACGACTTCCTACCTTATGATGCAGCCACAGCAGCTATGAGACGGAGAGGATGCACACGCATGCCAGATGGAGGACGAAGTGTAGATTTTTGCGGTGTGCTTGGAAGAACTGACACCTCTCCGACATCACTCAGTGATGGCGCACTCGAACAGATTGAACTCGTTTCCATATCACTTGGAACCCCGATCGAACCGCTGCTCATTGAGTTGGTTTCCGAATTTGCAGAGTAAGCCTAAATAGATGGAATATCGCTAAGAGATGAATAAGAATTGATGATCAATTTGACTTACTTCACAAATCCATTCAGTTGGTGGTAGAGGGATGGAACGAGCTGTCGGTGAATCACTGAATTTTGAACCAGCATAGCAAGGACTTCCATTAGACTTTGATGTGAATGAGATCGGGCGACGGGCAGGACGTCGAGAACCCTAAAAAGGAATTCAGGATAGATTAATGCTCAGCAGCCACTTAGCGTCTCTACGGGGAAAACGACACGACATAAGAATTTGATAAGGGAGAATCGTTTATACCTCCTGCCGACTACGTGGAGTTGGGGGAGCAGATACGGATCCAGACGATCCAAATAGTGCTGCTGGCTGCTGATGATGGTGGCGATTCGAACGAGGCACACTTGCACAAGAAATGTTCATTATAGACTGGTAACAGTTTGAACCGGGATTAAATACTGGTATTGCTGAGATGATTGAAAAGGCGCGGCGTCCACAACACGGTATTACCTGCAAAAATTGATCGCACAATGAAGGGTTTCAAAAACATTCCAAAATTAAAACATGAACAGAGGCAGTTGAAAAAGCCCTCAACAAAACTCTTTGTCGACTTAGAATAGCCACTGCAAATGAAAGTAATTACCTGATGAAAATCCTCCTTTCAGTGAGAGTACGAGACACTGAGTTGCACTCTAATGTCATAAAAAGTTCTCCCTGAAAGAAAAACAGCGATTGACGTAAGCTATGTTGACGTTAATAACAAAAATATGAAAGGGGCAAGTCTCGTTACCTGATATACTGGAGAACACAACGTTGTACGTATCACTTTCTTCACACAGATGGAACGTTCACTTTCGATACCGTAGCCAACGCAAACGGATGGTACAACGCAAAAGACGCTTGAATGCGCTAGAACTGAAAAGATTTATCGACTCATTTACGCCTAATACTTGATTACGATAATTTACGAAGAACGAATGAGGAGAGGGAAACCAATGGGGACGAAGTTTTAGGTAGGCCTAGCAAAAGAATCGAAGTAGAATGTCAACATTTTCTGAGATCCGGATAGAAAGCACCGATAAGAGCCAGAACGTGATTTCGCGACTGTAAAGAGCGTTATCAGAGAGAATACGCATAAAGTTCGCTCCTTGCTGAACCAACACTGAACAGCTGATAAAATTTATCAGAAATCTTTCGTAGATTCAAGGTCCGATCTCTGAAAACACAATTATCTTGCCTACTATCAAATGTTTATCTACACATCCACGAGGATGCGGAGCATCTTACCAGTTGCTTTTGACATTACCGTCTCCAGAGTGTCAAAAGGCAAGTGGTATGAAGTCCACGAAAGAAACATGTGGTTTGGGCAAGTTCCGTTCACCCACCAGCACTTTATGGACTACAAACTCACAAGCAAGCAGTGCGACGAAACTTTCACAACTCCTTGATGGATAAACAGATCGAGGTGAGTAAGCAGCTCATTGACGGATCAAAGAAGAGCGAATGTGAGTAGAGAAGCACGCGTGAAAGAATTTGGCGACAGAGAACTAGGCGAGGACTACGGATAGGAGAAAAACGAGCTCGGACTTGCATTATGAGGCAATCGGGCGACTTGTGCGCAATTAGATGGACATAAATACGTCTTGTAACGCTGAGATCTTCATTACGCTTATTCGCTATAATGTCGCGTCTTGTCATCGTTAGAGGCAGCACAAACGATGACTGAATGACTCCGTTTTGTCACTAACATCAAAACATCAGCTATGATGGGTTATCGGCAAAACAAACTCTGTAGAATGACCTTTTTTCAATTTTCTCATTTACTTAAACTGCACCCAAACAGAAAGCATTTCTGGTGATCGATGCCAGAATTTAAACGGGATAGATTGTAAAATAATGTTCTCATGTGAATGTATGATGTTCCTGAGTACTCAAATGATGCGCTCCACATCCCATGAGTCGAAAGAGACCATAAACGTCAGGGACCACCGTAAATGCTACTATTCATGATGATCAAAGGATGATTGACGTCCTCCCTGCCGGGCAATCCCAATTAATCGTATCCTCTAACCATACCCCTCATACTACCGAATGCTCTTTAATAGGCATGGCCGAACTTCCCCATCTAAGGACTTCCAGATATATAGCGAAAGAGCCATGGCGACCACTGCACACGTTCAATTATCATTTACAATTCTTAGAGATTGCAACATTAGAAAACTCTACGCTTATAACATAATAAATGAGACGGCACGATGTGCAAATAGGGCGACCGGGCAATTCAGGAGGTGAGAGAGCAGAGCGCGGATCGCATCCCGTTTCCTCGCCAACCCATTGTGCTCGGGCAGACACAGTTGACAGAGCATAGGCCCGCGAAACAAAGGCCTTTTAACGTAAATACGCAGTTGCGTGTTCGAACGAAATCAACGAGAATCCTCAGCCCACACGATATTTTGTCACCCACACTGACAATGCCGAAACTGCACTACTTTTGAAAGGATCCGCGCAGTTAGCGAAAAAGCGAAACCAGTCCAACCGCAGTACCCACAGAGAGAACCGGCCCTGCATTGACGGGGATTCAGCCATCAAGTCGTATCGTGCAACAACGTTTCCAGAGCGACGTTCCGATGATTGTAGGCATTGGCAATGTCGAACAAAACAACAAGTATTCAACAGCGAATTGACTCGTTTTCGTTGAGCAAGTGGCTAGAATTCTGCAACTGTCTTTTGACGTTGATCATTCCCAATTCGCAATGCATTGCTACATTTCCATTCAAAACCACGGTGATGATCTGAATCCTTTACAATGACTAGCCGACGGCCAGTCGATGGGCAAGTCAGTGCTTTCACCCCCTAGACGAGTTTGGTAGCAATCAACCGACCCCAAAGTGATTTAAGGTATCGCTCACCTGGATGGCGGTCAATCTAGGATTCGATCCTTAAACTAAGCGTGTGACAGGGCCTAATAGAAGTACACCATCGCCGCCCTCTGAACAAGTACTTTGACTCCACCCTGATTAATGAGAAGACGTGCTGCACTTTCGTCACCGTAAGCCTCTGCTTAGTAGAAATGCAGATGACTACAAGGGCCACGACACTGTACTTGTCATTGTGCCTACTCATCAGAACGCTAATGGCGCCTTGACTAACCCTGAGCAGTCCCATTTCTTTCCTCTGTAGAAGTCAGCATTAGCACCGCATATGCCGTAAGGGTATATCTTAATAAACACGTAGTAGGCCTCACGCAGCCGGTTGTCGTATTCTTCTGCTCACAACTCACCGCGCCCTGTCTCACATCGAATGCACTGAATCCCAAGGGTTTTGGGTAGGAATTACGATTTCCGCACAGTAGTCAACGCTGTCGTTTCGAACGTGAAACGCTAAAGGTTGAGATAATCTAAATGGCGAGGATTAGCTGAATCCATTGCAAAAATGATATAGGTGGTGATTCTATGCTGGGCTGAGCTAAATAGTTTCCGGAAAGTAAGTTGAGTTCCCAAAGTGCTCTGCGTTCTTCATAGGAACAACTCACCAGACATGGTACAAGTTTGTTCAACCGGTTCCAAACCAAAATCGATTACACTTATTCGCCAATCAGTGAGAAATAGAAGAGATGATGTTGGGAACTGTTTGCAAGCTATCCCAATACGAAAAGAAATTCACTTCGTTACTTGTAACCAGCCTACTCCTGCAGTAATTTCTATAACAATGATTTTGTGCAAGACTAGCAGGTGTTGTTTTATGATTACTGAGGGAATGTGCTATACAGCCTGCTGTTCCACACATGGACCAGACGGACTGAAATCTCCATACCGTCTAAAAAGACGGCCGTACTTTGCTCACAACGACTCAGAACACCTGTAATTTGCTCTATGGGCAGCTAGATTTGTGCAAATACATTTGAAGTGAATCTAGAGCTGAAAAGACTCCAGAAGGCAATCAGCACCTCGCCACTACCGTTATCTCCTCAGAAGATATCAACCCGTAGAAAGTTCAGAATTTCGGCAGTTAACACCTAAGTATGAGGTGAGCAAAAGCAAAGCACGGCTTGGTCCCAAACAATCTGGGCAGCCCTTCACAAGTTCCTACATGGTCTACGACACTGACGCAAGCTATGAAAAACCTTTTTTTGTACAATGAAACTCTAGATTGTGTTGGAACAGCTGCAAAATCAAAAACACGCACTTGTCATGGGACTCGTGCCCAATGAAAAACGCCCCACCGTGACCAAAACAAGTTGATTCAAGGAAAATTGTTTTAAATGGGCAGAAAAAGAGGACCATGAACGATGAGGAAGAGAGAGGGCCGCGTGGCTGACGGTCGATGGGAGCCGTCGGGTGGTGGATGGGACCGCGACGCGGGACCGCTCGCATGTGCGATCGATAGCGCCCGACGGGCGAGCCGGCGCGCCCACGACGGTGCCCATTATCGACCTGCGCTCTACGGGGCAGGCCTCAGCAGGTATTTTTCGACTGGGATTGCGTTTTGAATAGAAGCTACGAACAAATTCTTTCCATCCAATCAGCTAATGTCGTCGGGGGGAGGGGGTACTTCTTTAGCTGATATTTCACAGAATTCCACTCCCTATTAGATTTCCTAGGTGAGCAGATAAGTCCGCGCTGCCTCAATCCTAATCCTAATCTTGAAAATGCTGTCAAAACACTAACGACGTCAAAACATTGCAGCACAACAATTTGGAAATAGGGTGCCATCCCTGTCGTACCGAAAAAGTTCAAAGCATTCAAGAAAGAACGAAATTTCGAAACGGAAATCATTTTCAACTGAAACTTCTCGTTAATATAAAGTAGCGATTTCCAAATAATAACTGTAAATGGCAGTAGATATTGCATGCGTAATGATATAACGAAGCAACGAGCGTAATAAGTATGAGATTACGGTAACTGCTTGAAATACTCATAATCCTCACTGACTTTCAAGACTCCCACAAGTTTTCCTTGACACAGCAAATACCCGCTATATGCTATCAGCGGCTTCCACGTCAGTTCAGTTATTTTAATTAATTTACCTTACTGGATTTTCCTACTCAGCGTAAGCCGTGGGCGAAAACGTCGGCAAATCATAAACAGGGACAGAGGTGAAGTGATTTTTCAAATTCAAGCCGATTTCTGATGAAATCCTTCAATATTCTTGACCTATTCAAAGGTATGAAGATAGCTCAAAGCCTTAGTTCTGCAAAACTCTCAACTATTGTGAGCTCTTCTCTGGTGTTTCTAACGTCCGTACGCGAATACCCGTGAAACGACGAGTGCAGTCGAAATACCCGAATAGTTTCAACAGATGTGGAATTAGCACAAGCAAAAATCAAATGTCAGCAGACACAACGAGATCCAAAAGGAGCTGATTCAAACGGGCTATGAAGCAAACGTTTGAAGGAACTTAGTATGACAAGTCACTTGAAAGCATACTATGCGATGAACGAGGCCGCGTTCTATACTCGTACAAGGTCGGGTCGAAGGGCGGGACTTCCTGTGGAGGTGTTGATTCCTGCTTCCACAGATAGTCAAGTTACTCGTCATGCTTTTTGGTAATGGCACTATTCAAAGCTCATCCTCCCTCCCGCGCAGAAATTGAGTCCATTGCTAAATCAGAACCTAGTCATACCACACCTTGCGTATCGAAACCTTACATCAAAGAGAAAGAGAAAAGTAACAAAAATGAGAAAATGGGCACTTGTGACTGTTTTAACAACTCCGTATCACATGTTACTTTCCATTACAACAGAATTTTATTACAACCCTTGACACTTACTGCATCAATCACGCGCTGATGACGCCACGTAACAAATATCGTGACGTCAAGTAAGAGTAGGAGTGGGCGGGCGAGGAACGCTCGTGTGCCAAGCGACAGCCTCGCGACGCAAATTTTCGGAAACATTAACAAAGCAGGTTTCAAGGTCGAAGATTGAGACGAATTTCGGAGCAGTACCTAATTGATGGTCATCGTTGTGTGTAAAGCGACTGTCAAAATTTTTTCATCAACCGTTCATGGAACAGGAAGGTACGGTAGGGCCAGATCTACTTTGGACGTGGTACAGATGAGAAAAGATGAAACGTCTCAGGAACAATCCACCTGATGGGAAAGTTCAACAGAGATGAACAATTTGTGGAAATTCTATGTGAGAAGTGACAGCCAGACACCCGCGAGACCCAAATGGCAGTGCGCCAGAAATGGGGCCCCGCCCTCACGGCTTTGTGCCATATTGCACAATGAAATATTTCGACACAACGATTTTCGAAAATAAAATTTCCAGTTTAGAGCCGTGGTCGGCCGAAAAACCTTATAGGACGTTAGTCGGGTAAAAAACCCTTATAGGACGTAATGAAGGATTCCTCCTAATAAGGGCATTCCTCCTACACCCGATGTTTCCATGAAATCAATGTGAGGCGCTAAAAAATCGCTTAGTGCCTGATCAACGAATTTACCCAGACATCACTTCCATCCCATATCTACCGAATCACAAGTTTCTTCAAACCACACGCGTCGCATTGCGTGACATGCTGACCTCGTTCAAAAAGTTGATATGGAAAAGGAACTGGACAATAGGACGCTGCCCTGATGAGAGGGGGCAGACAGGGAACGCGTAAAAGTCTGCTGCCCCCACTCTATTTTCATCAAAAACCCATTTGAGATTCGGAGCCTGTTCGGGCAAGCACTAAATCATTTATGAAAAAATTCAAACAAAGAGATCACAATCCCTAAATCGGCTGTGCAATAAAGAGAACCTGTTCGGTAGATGTCCTTGATGAGAGTGGAAATGATGATGACGACAATCGGCGCAAACCGGAGGTGCGGTGAGGCGCGACGGGTGGTAAGGGGGACGAAGTGGGAGGTATGTGTGTCGGAAGGGAGGCGACAGGCAGGTAATTCGACACGTCCACTGAAAGAAATTAAACAAAAAATGACCAACCGATCGGAGCCGTTAGAATGGATAGCTCCCACGACTTTTAAATAGCGCCCTGCACGTGATCCACCAATCTATGTACGCCGTCGCAGGGGGGGTGGGGTACGGTAGGTTGAACTTTCGTGCGAAATTTCGAGAAAACATAAGTGCAGCTTTTTTTCTTGCACTTTTCTGCGAGGCTTCATCAACACAGTTACGAAAACGCCAGTTACTCACCTCGGACACCACCCTCGTCCGGTGGGCCTGCAAATGAATGGGAAAACACTGAGCGTATTTTGCCATTTGCTTATGCAAACAGGACTTATCACTAGCTGGAAAAGTGAAGAGGTCGAGCATGTGATAGTTAGCATGCGTTCCCATGCCACGAAATGCATGTTGACGTTCCAGATTGAGTAGATTGTGCGAATTTCATTCATGTGATTGGGGAATCAAACCAAAAAGACGGAGGATCGAACTAGCGGCGGTACGGCTACTTGGGAAAATAATTACCAGCTTTGGCCACAGCCTGGGCTTTAAAAAACAGAAAATATACTCGAAAAACACCGTCGGAGAAGCAGCCCAGAACCAAGGAGAAAGGCGAGCCAAAAGAAAATGGTACCTGAAGCATCCATTGGATTACAAACAACAAGGTCTAGAAATTCCATCAAGAACCTAGCAAAAAAGGTGAAGATGCACCCAGAGCAAAGTGGGCGCCAAGTGGGCGGGACATCCCAATGTACACCACTGGCGACATGTGACATCACACTGGCGACATGTCAAACACGCGTTAAAACATGTGGTTGCATGCAATGTTCACGTTCGTGCGTTGTCGCCACGTGTGAACCTTGGTTAAGTCGTGTTACGTTCACAGGCAAATTATAAGTATTGATTCACCTCTGACAAGCGTGGCCGACGAAAACGAGCGTACGCAATCTGTCGACGCTAACTCTGAACACGTATGAACGCTATAGATATAACCAGAGAAAAACAATCTAGGAGGAAAAACAGAGTGCCCTCGTAGATCCATCCCAGTAAATCATTAGGCGCTAAGAGCTGATGAATTGGGCTTGGAATCAGGAAATACTGAATAAACGAAGAGATCATTCGGGCGACTACATCTGGTAACATCACAACTGCCAATTATAACACCCAGATGACTGTGAATTATCACTTTCCGCCACAACATACCACCTCCCGGCATCTTGCATGGCCATGTAGCCCGTGTAAGCAGAACCCTTTCTTCGTAGAAAACAGCAGAAGAATAGAATGACGTTCAATTTCAAAGTGCAAAAGCTCAAATAGTGGAAACAAAAAAAAAATGCAAAGTCCGATAGCAATGTATCATTGATTACGACAAGAAATATACGTGTTCATGTACAAAATCAACAACTTTATTAGCAAACCAACAAGTANAAGTATCACAAAAAAACAAGGTTAGTCTACTATGTTATGATTATAATCTTCTTATACAAGGGTGTTCATCATAAGGTTGGCAAGAGATCGATAAAAATCACGATCATAAGGCTCAGACCGTGATCTTGAGCACTCCATTCTCGCCTACCGACACACATCGTTCTTCGCCAGATGTGGAACTTCCTTCAACAACGCTTTCGTCTCCGCTTCGGTGCAACACCGACACATCCACATCAACACCACTGCTCTGGAGCACAGGTATATATTATCAGGCGTTTTTTGCAAGTAGGTTTTCAGTTGACTTTGGATCCAGGGCCTTCTAGAATGCAGTAAAAACCAACCCTAACACGGAACAACAAAGTGTATGGTACAGATGACAAAGCACGCTCACGTTTTAGAGGGCTCCATGGTGTTTACATAATAAAGATATGATCCTACTCCCATGCCTCGTGAGAAATATGCATGAATATTCATCGGTGTCCCCGGGGTCCACTCAAGCTGTAAACCAAGCAGGGTATATAGGCTTTCTAATCATAGGGGGACTAAAAGTAAGATACATTTGGAAAAAAACATTGAGCGACGACCTAGAAGATGGGTAAATGAGCGGTCTTGGAGAAAGGTCTGGTAGTGAGTTGATAAGGGAAGAAAGAAGAAAAGAGGAAATCCAGAAGGTCCTCTGTAGCCAGGAATTGCAAATTTTCCTCGTTTCCTCTTTCTTTTCCGTATAATCTCGTCCTAATGTTTGTCCTGATTTAAAAATTTGGAAGAAAAACATTGAGGGACGACCTAGAAGATATAAGAATTTTCAAATATAGTTCATGGATGATATCTGCTTTTCTCAGCACAGGGTTTAAAAATCTTAAGTCTCTATGAAAATTTTTCAAAAGAAAGTGAAATGTTACTCTTCCTTTTATCCTTCATCGCTTGAATTCATCCTTTCATCCTTCATCCCTACATCCCTAGCCAGAGGCGCTACATTACACTTACATGCACGGGTGATGGGATTCAATCTCACCCATGCCAGGAGAGCCCATTTGCCTTTGCCGCTACCAACTTACCACTGCACTGTAGAAGCTGGTTGCAAGAATGCACCCCCACTCTCCTGAAATGCAACCTCGCTTCAAGCCTAACCAAGATTCAAAGGGTGTCACTAGCTAAGAATCAGGAGGTTCAAGGAAGAAGGGGAAGCGTATTTGGGAGGTGTAAAGGGATACCTGAACGAGAAAATTTTCTTATTTTCTCGTACTCATGGGCCAATACAGACTGCCGAAAATAAACAAAATCAACTCCATTCGTTGCGGACGTTAGAGCAGCTTCATACTTACGGTACAGCTTCACATCCAAATGGACGTCTTTTAAGAAAAGTGCTAAGATCCTACAAATTTCAGAAATTCAGCACAACATTGATGACTAAAAAAAGTATGACTGCGAGATCCATTTATTGATATAAATGACAAACAAATTATTCTTTCCCTAAACGAACGGCGGGAAAAAATATATGAAATGAATTTTATGATAACAAGCAAATCTTCTTTGAACAAAACAGAGAACGAAATTAAGCAGATACGACTTTGCGATTCTTCTTGAATCACAAATGTCAATGAAGGTTCAAAAAAAAAGAAGGAGACACTTGTACCTACAGTAGACATTGTCGAAGAATAAGGAGGGAAGGAATTGCAAGGATTTCGAAATAGAGCTAGCTCACTTTTGAGTTTACGCTTTCTTAACAAGAGGTTTCTATTTACTTAATTAAGATTCTCATTTTTACCCCTTTCGAATAGCTTCTGGACTAAACAGCAGAGAAAGGACTTGAATACTGCTAGAACTATAATTAAAGATTAAGTTAATTGAACGTTGCGGCAACAATTTGCGATTTTGAGAGATTGTATCAAAAGCATTCAGAATCCAATTAGAGCTATACCGAGAAATCCGAGATCCCATAATAGGAACCGTACTAATCAAGAATGTGCACTATCCTTGAGCTCGGAATCATGGGAGGAACGGAAAGAAGCCACATCTTATCCTTGCGGGCTATTCGACAGCTTAGATCATAGATCTCATAGACCACAAAACGATAATTTTACGATGTTTTAACCGATAAGGAGTTTTGAAGATTGCAAAATTCCTTATATTCGACAATCAGAGGTACCTCAAGAACACGAAAAGACTAAAACTAATTTCCTGAATTTTTTTAGAAGGAATTACTTTAACAGAAATAAAACCTTGCAGTATCTAGATGCTGCTTAGAAACGATTCAAGCACCTACATCGTCCAACACAACGACATCGTCGTCTTCCTCTTCCTCGATTACTGGTTTCTGTTCTTCTTGGTTAGCATCCGCTTCCACTTCAACTTCAACTTCTGCTTTGACCTCCTCCTCCGGTTCCAACTCAGTAGGCTCCGATACAGCCTCCTCAGTCACATCATTGCGAAGGTGGAACAGTTCCTTTTCCAATTCTGCGATTTTCTCATCTCTTTCAGTGATTTCATGAGCGTGTTCTGAAATTTGATGAGAAGCAGAGAACGTGAAAGCAGTAAGAATGAAGCAACAGGTAAATTCCAAGTAGCCGAGTATCCAAAAATTCTAACGAACACTCCCATTCGCATTTTAATTAAAACTATAGTTAGAATTCAAAAACAGCCACTGTTCGAAACGAATATGATTAACAACTGACACTAAAGCACACATTAAGCTGCTTGTGGAAATGAAGAAGCTCGTCAAATAAATAAATAACAACAACTTCAGTAAGAGTACTGAGAAAATAAAAAGTAACCTTTCTTTTCCTTTCTGATGGCGCGGAGGGCTGCGTGTGCTAACGCAAGCCGATTCTCCAGGTGTCCAACTTTCCGAGCACCCTTTTCGTATTCTCGTAATTTTTTTATAGCCGCATTCTTTGACTCCAAGAACTGGTACAGAATTTTACTGAAAAGAGCACTTCATTACTTAACCGTTAATATCAAAAATGCTTCGAAACTATTGCGCTTTAACACAGGTCTTGTGTTTACTATAACATATCTGGCAGTCATTGCTTGACTCTAAAGATGAGGGATCTCATTGTTAGTATGAATTCTCAATCTTCGATTAGATTTGTTCACCCAGAAATTGTCAAAGTTGTTTTTACTGATTACAAAGTGCCTCTAGTCACAGTTATGGCTACAATTAGGGTTTTCCTGCTGCAGTACCAGTGAATTGGCACAACCTCATATAAAAAATGGAGATACTGCTCGATACAATAACCAACGCTTGAGGATCTCAACATCCATGATAAAGCGGCAGTGAGCGTGTGACATATTTCAAAAACGAAAGTGATCGCTCGCCGAGCGATTCATCCTTTGATTAAGTTTTCATCAGCTGCCGAATCACCATTATGAACTGGCCTGCCAAGTTTTTAATAGTCTTTGAAGCATGGTGTTCAAGCGATTTTATCATGAGTCCTTCGCTAAAAAAACAACAGAATATTTGCAAGCTCTGAAAACTTAGTAGCTATCCACTACGAGCTATAACAGAGAGCGAGGACATGGGACAGCTTATAGGGAACGCTGCAAGAGAGTAATTTCAAAGACAAAGCGGTGGGGAAGACCCATAAACAAAAAAGGAGTGAGACAGTGAGACAAGCCCAGGTCCCTTGATCAAACAGCGGGTGAACTCTGCACACTACTGGTCAAATACAATATTTTGGACAAGAGGAAGTCGCTATGTTATAGCTCGTAGCGTAGTTCAAGAGAAAGGTCGTTACTCCGTCTCGGTAGACAAATCGCCTCGGATTTAATTTCTCATTGGTATTAGAAAATGCGCCTGAAAAAAAAAACATCAAGAATATGTACGAAACTTACGTGTCCTTGCCACTCTCGAGGGCTTTGACGGTCTCCTTCAAAGTAGCGATTTCCTTGTCTTTGCTAGCTATTTTTTCTTTCATTGCAATGAAAGCTTCATAAAAGAACGGATCGAGGAGTTGATCCCTTTGAGCAGGACCCGTGCTGACTCCACTGTAGTAGGCATCATTGCGCTCCTTCTGAAACCGCAGCTGCTTGAAGATAAAGTTTATCTCCTTCCAGGATATTTCTGTGCCAAAAACAACTGACTATTCCAACGAAAGAAAAATTGCGAAAGCAATGTCGATGCATTCGTGACTTCCAAAGAGAGAGCACGCCAAAATTCATTGAACTTACAATGAGATCCTTGACCTCCTTATCTTTCTGAAGATATTGCAAACGATTTTGGGTTTCACGCCTTTTTAACGTTTTTGCTAGTTCCGTTACTTGACTGAGTTGATCAGTCAGTGATAGAACCCTAGAAATGGAAGAGTAGATAACACAAAGGAATATTAAAATGAAACTCACTTCTCTACAAGAGCTCCACTGTCTTCAGCTTCGAGCTCCTCACGGCTAAGCTTGATGATTTTGCGGGGAATAACCGAGGTGCCGTCGTCTTTAGAATCTTTCATATCTATGAATAGCAATGTCCATATTTACAGTAACATGTGCTGCAGTCAAGACCCAACCTACTTTCTGCACATATAAGGGAGAGATTCACAAAACAAAATAGCAGTTCCGTTACACCAATACCGAATGATGAGTACAACAATTTCAGGGTTTTTTTTCTAATTGGCGCGGTAAGTGACAAATAATCGGACGCATGAGACTATGTACTACCTTCTGCGTTGAGGGCAATAATGTTCCACTACGAGTTATGAGAAGAAAAGGTGTGCAATAAGGAAAGAACCATTAAGGAAGTGCTAAGGGTCAAGGAGTCTGATCGCTCTCGAAACAAAGGTTCACAAATGATTCCCTATTAGTGAAAGAATCACCGCAGATGGTGAACCTCTAACTGCTTGAATATAGGAAACAATCAAAAAGCACCAAAACAAGCTTATTAATCAACAAAAGAACACAATCGCAGAATTTATCGCGCTCGGAAAACCGCATGCGGTTGCGCTGCGTCGCGCTTAGAGCGCGTTATTCCTGCTGGGACGAAGGGCGCAACCCTAGCCAACGGGCGGTGGTTGGTGCTGTTGCGATCTCAAGCTTTTGTTGAGTAGTCTTTTACAGAACTCCTTGACTTCCCTCTTTTCGTTTTCAGGCGGAAGAATTGATGCTTTGCTCACCATCATGAAGCAGACGTGAGGGGTTCACTTTCATCCCATTGTATCGGGCTCCTCAGATGGACACCTACGACCGAATCGGAGCTTGGACTTTTGATTGCTCGATTCCTGACTTTGCTGATCTTCGTAATAATTAAGATGGGGCTCGTTCTCGAAAAAAAAAGCAACACCATTTAATCACAGTTGTCAGGATCGCTCTGAACCCCTACCGAACGCAAAAGAAGACCGTCAGATAGGGAGCTCAACAGGAGAAAAGCTGTAGGATCGAGCTGAATATCCGTGAGGTTCAGAGTTTGTTATTTGCGATGATCAATGGCTCCTGTCTGGAAAGCTATGACATTATCCCGTTATCGCTCATTTTTCTACAGAATCCTGCCATGTTTTCTCAAACCAGCCGGATTGATGGGCGATTGAATCACAGGTTTCCCACAGACCTTGTAGCTTTGTAGCTTGTACTTGTTGGAGCTGGAGGTTGTGATTCACGGTCCAACACGGGAATGTGGGCACCTTCAATGAATGAAAAAAGAACTGAAGGGCATAACTACGATAGCGCAACAGCACGCGAAGATGCTGCGTAGTCTTTGTGAGCAGATATAGAAATTACTGGCAGGAAAACCTGCGAAGGTATTGATATTGCTCAAAAAACACAAATATCAACAATAGTTTAGTGAAGAAAACAACGCTTCAAAGGCGAATTCTTTATCATAAAATAGCACAGAGAAGAGCGTTCCCGGAAATGGGCTCGGACTAGAGATGTGATGGAGGATTCTGGATGTTCTTAGAATGCCCAACAATAGCCAGGACAAGACTGCATGATTGTTTCGAATCTTCCAGTTTCTACTTCCATCAGTACAGTGTAGGTCGTTAGCTTGTTGAGATTAGTACGTGACGACAGAACGTTGAAAATACCCTGAAAATTATCAGCTTCCCTATAAATTGGAAGGTAGTGGGGCCAAAAACAGAGTCACTGCTTACTAGAGTGCATATATGTACCAAGTTTTACAAAAAAAAACATACCTGGAAGTTCACATTATTCTGCCCGAGCATTTGCATACAGTTGTTGCCGGGTGTCCGACGATCATCGAGATAAAGAACCTGAACGATTGCCAACTGATTTAGACCACATTCCGGCCCTTGAACTAGAACCAACGGGCTTGTCCTGGTCGTAGTTAGTCTCCACCAGATACCATCCGGTCTTCTTGTTGTTAGGATCGAGTTCGGTTAGCAGATCAGTACCATTAAGACTACGAGTGATGATGGAACCCTCAAACGGACAGTTTATTATAAAACTTTAACAATCATTATTCATTACTGCTACTGTTCAAATTTATCTATAAAATAACCGACGTACCTCCCATGGGTTCAAACCGCCGAGAATGTAGTAAACTGGTGAGAGCATTGGGGTTGTCATCAGATGAGCTTTAGCATCGGCGTATGCTTCAAAATGGCTGGTTCAAAAGTAGTTTTCAGAAATTGCATGGCCTGACTCACTATCGAATTGTTCGAGCGTTTCCCTTGTCAACCACGACATCCATTTGCCATTTGGTTCAAGTCCTGTCATCCAACGGTACATGCCCACATATCCTAAGAATGAACTTGGGCATCACTAGGAAAAGGAGCAAGACAAATACAGCAAAATTGGAATCACCTCGATGCTTTTTGGAGACAAAATTTACCTAGCGGGTCACAACAGCGTGACGAAGGCCATGAACATACTAATGAACGCGCGAATTTGTCGCGTGCGACAGCGGTGAATAGCGCGGTGAAACAGATGATTGCTCGCTAGCCCAACTTATAAGTGATGCTGCCAAAAAGCGGTATAGAACGAGTGGATTTTTTCAGATTTACTTGTTCTGACCTCAAAGTAAACATCCGACTAAAATCGCCACACTGCGATAGCTAAAAGATGGGAATCAGTAAAGGAAGAGTTCGCATCTCCAAAAAAACAAAGGTCTTCAAAGTAAAACAGAAAAAATCAGAAGAAACAGCATTAACCAAGAATCACGATTAGAAAGATGACGGAATATTTCCCATTTGAATTAAAATTATAAGCTCGCTAGCCAGCTCTACTGCTCTATTGAGACTTCTCCCAAGCTGAATTGTATTCGGCGACTTCCCAGTGAGTTCGCTAGCAGTTCGCTAAGGGTTTCAGCAGTTCCAAAAGATTCCTTTCAGAAAGTTACCTCCAGCTGCTTGGAATCTCTCGTTCGCAGTAATAGAGAAGGCACCCTTCTTCATTCCATTGTATATTCCAACGTAACCGGCAAAGTTGTTTGATTTGTAAAGGATTTTACCTAAAAAGGGGGCTTCAGACAACGAAAACTTTTAACTTCTCATGTTATCATGACATTCGAAGAGCTGATCAGAACTGATCCGATACAGGTCATGCTAGCGTGATAAGAACATCTCGCAACTACGCTGTAGCCCGTCACTACCCAGATTTTGCCGCATCTTCAACCCACGATTTTGTGCAGCTGATCCCTGGAAAGACAAACTGACCATCTTTAATCCAATTGACATTGATGATCATCTTCCTTAATGCACTTGAAATTTCCCATTCATGATTAACCGGATCCCATCCGAGGAAAAGACCAAAGTCGAGATTTCTTAACAATATCTCATTAATAACAGTATTTAAGCCTAAGTTGCATGAGGGATGTATTCTGGCTAATCAAACCCACCCACCTTGCATGGATGATGTGACCGTTCGAATCTTGGGCAATAATCGAAGTGCATACGGTGAAAATTTCATAGAAGATATTGTAAATGACAATCTGCCCAACGGGGATGCCTGTGTCGTCAGCTATCGACTGAAAAGGGCTTGAAAGTTGTTATAACCTCCTTTTATCGAACTTTCTCTGGAGATTTTTCAGAATATCCAGTTATCAGAAAATGTAAAATAAATAGTAGCCGAGTTCAGGACTGCATAAAATTAAAAGCTTTTTCAAATGAAAAATTTCCGAAGTGTAAATTTGTATTACAGTAAGCCTAAGCCTCCCAACGCTGATCTCGTTTTTGGGATAAGCCGTGTATTCGACCTTTATTCAGAATCGTAGTGCCGGGTTGAATGCATACGTGCCAATACAATGACTAGCGGTGGCCAGCAGAAATATAATTAGCAATGGGTAAATAAATAAGTTAGATAGTTGTCAGTAAACAATGCACACATAATACGAAAGACAGCATACAACAGAAGTAAATAAATAAGTGATATATAGCAATGAAGGGAGCCCACAATCATATAGTGACCATATGGGCAGTTTCACACGACCCAGCTTCAACCAGTTACGCCCCCACCCCCTCCCCTCCCCCACCCATTCCATCGAGTAGCTGTAACTGGAAGAAGTACGGAATCACTTGACCTAGGGAATGTATTGTGCTTAGGTGAATCCTTATCTATGGGCTTATATCAAATGTGTGGTGCAACTTAATATGGTGGCCGATTACCAAACCGTCCCTTACCTCATGGAAAAATGGTATATTGTCTCGAAAAATGTATTTTCTCCGAAATCAGAGAACTGACTTGTATCTCGTCCTTATATGGTTGAGGAAGTCGTTCTTCCAGGTCTCCAAACAGTAGATCGACCCATTCGAGAACATTAGGAACGACAGGTTCAATAAGATTGATGAGTACCTGAAATGAAATCGGATTCAACTGTGTTTCAGTTAGAAATAGTAATTTCTACCCCAATGAGGTTCTCTATTTGTGAAGTGTATGCTTTTGAGATCTCAGTCCATCGCTGCTTCGGTGGCAGATCAAGGTTAACGTTGAACCTGAAAAATTCTAATAAAAAATGTATCATCTACTTATGTGATTACGGTAGCCGTTTTTTTGAATGTCACAGTGACCGACCATGGAATGTCGAACTGTTTTTGTGGATCGTAGAGATTCGTGTTATTCTTAAGAATACAGAAATCGGTGTATGGTGCTGGTAGGTCGACGTGTCGAGCGAAAACCGTCGCAAAGCCGACGGCTAGTAGAAGTGCTGGTCTCATACCTAAACAATTATCTGGGACGGTTACAAACAATAAGAATTCCTTTTATGTAATGAAGGCTCTGCACGGGTTGAAGAGTAGTTTGAAAGGAGTATGATGGAATTGAGTAAACGGAAGTGATGGACCAATAGAAACTACAACGACTTTGGCAGTTCCCTGTTTCTTGTTCTGGGATCGTTTCCCAGATGTCCTTCTTCTTTAGAACCTACTTCAGTGCTTATCACTCCTACGAATGGTTGGGGGATTACTCGTAATGACGCCAAGTTTCAGGAGAACATCCACCAACATATAAGATAAAGGATAGTCTTTAGAATTAATCGATCCTGCTTGGGTCCCCATTCCCTCTCGCGGTGACCATCCGATGAACAATTAAGGGCCCTTATTCTCGCAGAGGGGTCTGGCATCAATTGATCGGCTCCGAACCATCTTGGATTCGATCCCCTAACCATGCGCGTATGGACTGATCGTGAAGAAATTGAAAAAAAAACTTCGAAGCGTTCAGCCATTCCACTTTTGTACTACTTCCACTGTAGTAGTAGTGATCAACGATTAGCAGAGCAGCAACGTTGGGTAATCAAATCAGATCAGGACAAAACCATGTAAACAGCGTAGCTCCATTCTTCTTTCACGGTGCAAAGAGGTCTCTGCTGTGAAAAATTGCAGAAGAGGATCTTAACTAAATCACTTAGCCTAAATGAAAGTGAATATTCATCTAGAAGGATTTTATAGCACTTCACAAAACAGCCATGGACATTGTGGCTAACAGGAAGAACCAGGGGGAAAGGGGGAAAAGAAGCGGGTACAGCGACTAAAAAAATGATGACACAGTGAACATGGGCGAATATGCTGCGAATACGCCTTGACAGCTGCTATTTTTCCCACAAAATAAGCATCCTTGTTCTTCATTTGACTGTAGATAACGGTGGCCGATAACGCGTACTGTGTGAACTGGTAAGCAATTTGCGTAGCATCCATTACTATGAAATCACCTGTGAGATTCTACGGATAGAACTAAATCAAGTGTATTTCGGAGAAGTGTAAAGGTTGGAAAAGGGAGGAAGTGGTACGTATCGACTAAATACTATGGAATGGATTGGTGCCTGTTTGGTTCTAATGACCTCTCCTCATAGTGCTGAAGTTGGTAGAAGGAACGTTCTGTAAAAATGGTGGACTAGCCCAACTGCCCCGCCAAACGGTATTTGATGACTTTTTACACATCCTCTACACAATACCATCTATTCACCTGACATTTTTTTATAAATTTGATTTGTTTGTAGCATTTTTCTCTAAACGCTTCACTTTCTTACTGTTCTCTTAATTTACTTATTTATTTATTTGTTTATTTTATGTTTTCTGTTTTAATTTCTTATTTGTTATTCAGTTTTTTATTTTATTATTATTTATTAATTTTTTGCACTTCCCTTTCTTACTGTTCTCTTCCTTTACTTATTATTTACTTATTTATTTATATGTTTTCTGGTTTATTATCTTATTTATTCTTCAGCGTTTTATTTTCTTCTTATTTATTTATTTTTTTACACAGTTAATAAAGGTATGGAAGCAGTATTATAACATTTGTATATTCGCATTTAGTTAAGGTCACTTGGTCATAGGTGCGCTATAACTGGATGCGTGTTTCTAAATTTCCACAACCCTTAAAATGCATTTTGTAGAGCATACTAACCTTTTGCTACTTCCTTAAGCGCTCTTAGGGTAGAGTTTCCCTCCACTTTGTGGAAGTGTTTTCCCTTGGCAAAAATCCACACGCTCTCCAAATTCCGGTTCATCTAATCGAAAAACACGAACCTCTCAATTAACACTGTCTTGGAGGCGTAAAATACTGCGTTCGGCGTCACTTATCTGACTCCTGACAGAGCAAACATTTCCTTGAGGAGACTCTCTCCTTCCCTACCCTGGGCATTATGCATAGACCCTTAGTTGGCTTCACATTTTTGTTGCGTCATACATTTCACGAAAGTTCGGAGCTGCTCGAGTGTGTCTGAATGGACTTTAAAATCCGTCTTGTTTACTTCGATGGCGCATCAAATTTAGCCCAATGGAAAAAGTTAAGCAGAGTACCTCCATGGCGAAAACTCTCAACACTTCAAATAAGCAATTTGGAGCTCCAAGAGGTAAGTCGCCAAGTTACAGTCCCTCTCTGCGGTGTGTCCACAAATCTATAGTTTGCAGCTCGAACCAATAGGGGGAAAACTTTTTGGAAAGAGAAAAGGATGACATGCTAGAGGTCTAAAAGTAACCCCTCACTGTTCAGGTGGGGGACTATTTACTACTGTCCGCGTTTGAGCTCCATAGCTAAGTGATTGTTGTTACATTTAAGTGACTAGGCAGTCAACTGGCGCAAAAGAAACTGGAAGAGCGACAGGACGGGCAACAGATTAACCTCGTTACCTCCAGGCAACAATCGCCCTCTCGAGCAAAATGGCTACAACAGCTCGTCCATCCTCGTCTCAGCGTCAAACCGCAGGCTTCAGTCAGTCTTTGCTTCAAACTGGTCCTAATATTGTAGCGATAACTGTGTGGGTGCGTATATCCAACAATTTTTAAGCTCGTCAGTCGTCTTCGAATGCTCGTTTGAGCATGAAAATTTCGGAACTTAAAGAAAGGATCGTCGAACTAGACGCGCGTCACGAAACCCTAATCTGAATCGGCGTTTCTCAAGGTTGAGCAACTTTCAAGATATTCACTATTTCACAACTGCTTCACTGTACTAATTTGTTTTAGAACCACATATCATCGCGGAATCGGAAAATGAAATCTGTAACCACTCACCATCATTCAATTACTACAGATATCCCTGGAGAGTTTGAAACACGCCCAACTCACTCCCATCCACATTGCAACGGATGCTGAAGAGAGGATAGGAACTTCGGACGGGGAGTTGTCTTAGAATAATATTTTCTTTTTTTGATTGTGAAGTTTTAAGGTTGAAGAGGACATACAAGAAGGAGTTGCAGACATCAGTGGCCCGATGGCTGCGAAGCTTGACGATGCTCGATGGAAGGAGTAAGAGATGAGAAAGGTATGATTTCTTGAATCGCTGCGAATTTAAATACTATTATTATGCTTATACTATTTTTTCGCTTAATAAAAGATGCAAGACCACGCCAGGGGTTTTCACCCGGTAAGTCGTTACACATCAGGCTGGATGCGTATGATAAGGTGCAAGTAAGGTAAAAGTAGTAAGGTGCGAGCTGAAGTGTAATGCTGATAGACGTCCACGCTTACACCACTCAAGGACATCGATGATCAGCCGACTTGATCGACTGATCATCGCGGACATCGATGTCGATGCGAAACCTCAGTATGGCACAACCTTTTAGGGCGGAGTCCACAAGCCGAGGCAACGGAGAGACGGCTGGCGACAACGAACCGAACGGCGTCGACTCCCCTGTACCTTCTCATCCCGTGCCCATCATCTTTCACATCCCAAGAGCGAAGCCCTCCGTACGAGCTGACTTGTGCCATGTCGTAGTAGAACAGTCTTTGTATAACAAATTTTTGCCCATTGTTCGTATGTGCTCGTTTATTGTCTAATGATGTAGCTTCGACATAACAGCGGGTTATCTTGCTTCCTCACTCTGTATTGATGCCTTGAAGATAAACTCNCATCATCTTTCACATCCCAAGAGCGAAGCCCTCCGTACGAGCTGACTTGTGCCATGTTGTAGTAGAAGAGTCTTTGTATAACAGTTTTTTGCCCATTGTTCGTATGTGCTCGTTTATTGTCTCATGATGTAGCTTCGATATAACAGCGGGTTATCTTGCTTCCTCACTCTGTATTGATGCCTTGAAGATAAACTCTATCAATCTGACGTCTCGCTTAACATGATATCAGCCGCTCCGGTGAGCGCGCTCGCTTACTGAGGGTGTCCGATCATTGTTCCGCGAGCCAGAGTGGGTCATGCTCGCTCGGGAGACAAGAGGCAAGTTTCCATTTGCTCAAGGCTGACCATCGCGCTAGCGGCCGTCGTGGTCTTCGTTTGACGTCTCGAAGGATCCACTCAATAACCTGGTTCAACGGTTACCACAATATCGCATGATGTGCCTCATTTGCACTCGTGAGGCCCTTCTTGGTCCGTTCGCATCTCTGTGCATGACCAGTTGCAACCAGCCCTGGGGATACTTTATTCTGGCTAACTTCTGCTAGCAAGTGCATGTTGCACTCTTGTCGCCGATAACAACACTTTCAAATGGGAAAAACCTGATTCAACTTGCAAGTCCCCTTAATTGCCATTCAAATTCATAGAAGAGCCTCATGCTTCACAAGGTAAGGGTATTTCAGTTATGGGGTGTACCCGTTTAACGTAGAAAGGTAGAAATCGATATTCGCTTGTTCTACGTTGCTGGAAAAGGGGTGACTAAAAGTGATCTCTGCTTTTGTCTGCGCTGTTCCACCGGCCTATTGCGGTTGCAGAATTGCATTGAGAAGCTAACATGTTCTACTCATTATTATGTTGTTTTGTGTTCTTTATAAGGAAAACATTTCGGAACAGGGTTCACTGGGTTGAATGAAATTTTGCTGACCCTTCCTTAAAAGCGTAGGTGGAAGTAGAGACCCTGCCTTCTGCCCATGAGGAAAGTCCCTTACAGTAATCATTCTACTTCTAGTGTTACGGTAGGGATTTGATCTCTCAGAGGACTACAACCTAGCCACATAGTGACGGAAACGATTTCACTCGAACTACTGTTGTAGTAAACAGATGTGGTGAGCCTGCTAGACCACTTACTCGTGATTGTTATAGGGAAAAAGTGGTGCCCAGCACAGCGCTTTGGCGACCCAGCACTTTTAAAGTTAATTAGGTAGTGATGGGTTTCGCAGTAATGGGCCTGTCTGCGGGAACTAGCACCCCACAAAGTTCCCTCAATACTGCAACTTGAGTTCATGTTCCCTTTCGCATCATTGTCCTACT